ACACAGAATCAGAAACTCAGACTAAAAGTGAAGATCATTCTCTCCTCCAGTTGGCCTCGAATGAAATTTTTCCATTTTCCACAGTCTATTTCCTAGAGACATTGTTGGACTGGAGAAAAAAGTTGGAAAATAGTGCTGTCAGTTTGAACAAAAAGTGTATCATTTTAAGTGTTCATTCAGACCAGTAAATGTAGGAAAAGCGTGCGGTCAGGGGTAGGATGAAACAGTAAAGTGATTCTCTGCATTCTCAAAAAACTCAGCTGTAAGCCACAAGATTAGAAAAAGTGGCAGTGGAAAACCAGTGAACGGGGACAACTTAGGTCCTATATGATCCCAGAATTTAGCTGGCATTTCCATCCACAAGGGAGGGAGAGAATGGAGAGGCACAGTGGGGAGGGGGATAAGGAATATCTGATGGACATCCCTGTATTTCTCCCAAGTTCCACCTTCAGGAACCCTCCATTCCTATTAATACCATAGATTATAATATAATATTAAAAAAAAAATACTGTCAGTAAAATTAAAAGCTAGATTTGCAGGGAAATTTAGTCATAGGGAAAATTACGATTAAAACACATATGCACAAGTTCTCCGAAACCTGCCAGCAATCAAGGTCATGATTACAATATTAAGTAACAGATAAGTCTCTCCTGACCCAGGTTCCCAAAAATTTAAGGCTGAAAATAATTAATAATTCTGATACCGTTACACTTCAGAAGTCCAGTGCTTAGTTGGAAAATAAAATCAGAATTCTTGTTACCCATATTCCTTTCTATACAGAAACTACCTCATTAGACAGTCCTATGTTATGTTTGGTATCTTTTTCTTTTTACATTTCTATATTTTATTTTTAATAAAGTAAAAAAAATGACTCTTTCTTGCTCTAATTAAGTTAAGGTGTCCTTTATTTTATCCTGTACTGGAAACATAGGCTTTTTTATTTTTGCTTATTAAAGACCAAAAGCTACGTCTTGGGCCTAAGGCCAGATCACTCTGCTCTTTTCTTCTGAGAACTCAGCCTACTTTCCTTTCCCTTTTTTTTTTTTTTTTAAATGCTTTCACTGCCACTTTGTCCTTTAGGAACCTTCTTCTCCCAAACTGGTTTCACACAGTATCCCAACTCTTCTCAATCTTGCTGACTCTAAAAGTAAACATAGGCTCATTTCATTGTTGCTATTATTATGAATTAAAAGAGGATAGTGAAAATAATACACATAAAAAAGTCTAAATTAATGAATCTTGGTACCCAGTTTCTGAATTCTCTTGCTAAAAGCGTTAATGGAAATATGAAGTTGAGATGGTAGCTTTCATCCAAACTCCCTACTTCCAGGTGGGTAAGCAGATCCAAACTTAGATGTAATTTCAACACCTGCCAAACTCGTGTATTATTTCCACTCCTCAGGAATTCCAGTTGGAGAGGAGGCACCCATTTTACTGAATCCTTGCCCCAAAAAGTTCCTGTTGGGGCTTATCCTCACACCTTGAAATAAAGCAGTTTTTTGAGATTTTTTTTTCCCCCCAAAGCCCCAGTAGATGGCTGTATGTCATAGTTGCACATCCTTCTAGTTGCTGTATGTGGGACGCAGCCTCAGCATGGCAGGAGAAGCGGTGCGTCGGTGCACGCCCGGGATTCGAACCCGGGCCACCAGTAGTGGAGCATGCGCACCCAACCGCTAAGCCACAGGGCCGACCCTGAGATTTTTTAAGAAGTATTACTATGTAGCCTTATTTACAGAAGAGACGTGAGGAACTTTGTAAGAACACGAGGAAAAACAAGTAGATAAAAATTGGAATCTAGAAAAATACAAATCAAGTATAACAAGTTATAATGTAGACATGCAAGCGACTGAGCCCTACATAAGTATTAAAAGTAAGCCTAATATTAATCTGAGATTTCTCACGACCAAAGCAAAAACTGAGGACAATCAATGAAGGATTTGCACTGTCCATAAGAAAAAGACAAACTGATTTCTGAGGTGAAGTAAAGCTTTTCCTGAACAGGTCAGAATAAAATTGCTCATTTGGATTCTGAGTGATGTAATGTTTCCTCAATATCTTCACAAAAAGGCAATAGCAGACCTCATTCAGCTGTTTATTGATTTTTAAAAATTAGTATAGGAAAATGATAAATAATCTCGCATTACATGGCTTAAAGTCTTAAATTTTGAAAATTCAAGCTGGAGAAAATTCAAAATGGTAGCTGGCTAAAACTATAGTGATACCCAACATTAACAGCTGCAACTATCAAGACGAGATCCTAACATTTTCAGTGTGCATTTGCAGTGGATACTTAGGCCATGTTGAATTTTCTAGAAACAAAAATGTGGCAAGCACTTCCTCTTCTCTGTTACTTCTGTATCTTATACATATTTTTATTGTTGCAGTGATGGCATTTATTTACAGATCTCTAAGATATAAATGCCACACCTTTGTCCTCTTCATAACCAACCCCTAGCCCAGTGCCTAGCACACAAAAGATACTCAATAAATATGCATTGATGTGCATAATACTGATGTAAAGAAAACCTAGATCAGGAAAATACTGAGAGTACTGCAACAGTAAAATAGCGACCACACTCTACAACTACTGACAGGAAAAAATAAAAACCCACCAAAAAACGATTCAGAACGTGAAACATGTCCCAGAGCACTGCAACTTTTCAAAGCTTACTTGATTTTTCCATAGAAGGACCTGGTCTCATCATGGCATTTCATATGCTCCAGAATTGGCCCATTCCATAAAGGCAGGAATATCTGCACTGGCCAAATACAAAGCCACACTAAAAACATAACATTTGAATTATCTGGGCTAGCAGGCATGTGCATTTAGGAATGTAAAGTTTTCATATAATTTAAGGTAAAACTTCTCTTGATAGCTCCTTAAAATGAACTGGTTTTGAAGAAAATCGTTCCTGAAGTTGTTACACACATTGCTGCCCCAGCCAACAGTCTACTAAACACAACTGAAACTTGCATGACTGAGTCATTACAATTTATCACGTTTTTAAAATGTTCTGAGACCGACATGCTACAAGTTCTCTTTGTTCTCTCTCCCTTCTTTCTCTACTTTTATCCAGATTGCAGCCCAATGCCCTATTTTCTAATTTCTGCTACTCTTTCTGCTTTGTTTTTCCCCTTCCTCTTCCCTCATTATTTTTCCAGTTCTCTCCTTACTTGTCTTTGATATTAGTGGGGCTTTTTTCATCACCCTCAGTAGCCAGTGAGGGGCATTCTTTTCCATCTGTTTTTCACAAAATGATCGATCACATCCTATATTCTGTAACCTTCGTTGTCCCTTGATTCTGTTCAGCTCTTTTTGCCACTGATGATTTTTCTAAACTTCAATTTTTCTACATTTCAGTTGTTGATCCAGACACCTGAAGGTGCCTGTGATTGAAGGACAGGGGGCTGGGGGGGTGCTTATAAGTCAAAGCGTTATTTTATGGTTACCCTTCTTACACCCTCTCTTTTCTGTTTTCACTTAATTTTCAAAGTATAGTACAGAAATTTCTATCAATGGCCCAGTTCCTACAACAGGTCTTTAAAAGATTCCAGATAAGAGGTAAGTTGCAGACCAAGAAAGTAAGCAAAATAAGGGCCTCAGTGGAAACTAAAACTTCTAGACCATTTAGCATTAATGCATATAATATGCAGAAACTACATTCTTTTCAGGCAATAAAGATTTTTGTCTAAAAGAATGGCAATAAATATGCTATCAACTTTAAAAGCTGAGGTTTTTCTTCCTTTTTTAATGTTTTCACTTTGTTTACTATCATCACTATAATTCTAGGAAAGCACTTAATAAAAATAAAACCTTTAAGTTATTAAGTCAACTATTTCTACTGTGTAATATAAAAGGTTTTAAGAATACGTATTCTTGTAGGCCTCAAATTATATCTTCACTCTTATATCAAAATAAGGTAATAATTATACTCTGAAAAACATCCAAATTCTTTTTTGTATGGAATTTGGCTAAAAGAACCCACTGCTAAAACCACAGGGTAAATTGATGTAACAGAGCTAAAAATGCAGCCTAAGCCCAGGCTCTGAATCTTTTTGCATATTTTAACATTAGGTCTAAGTATTTATGGAATTTGGGTCTGTTTCCTGGTTTGGAAGTGTTTCCAGGTAGGGTGAAATGAAAGGAGTGAGGATAATTGTGATTAATGAAAGGAAAACAAAATTTCAAACTAGCCAACTCAGTCCATTCCTCCTGTCTCATAGTGCATACCATCACATCAGCTTCTGTAATTATAGAAAGACAGCTAGGATCAGAGCAAACACTGGATGTAGAAAATTCACTGTAACCTAGAGAACACAATTCCTTTCAGTCATCCGAGAGGGCATGGAAATAATTTTTGTTACAAAAACATGTTTGTATTTTTGTAATGGGATTTTACCTATAAAGATAGTAAAGGCTCACATTTACTGAGCGTTCAGTATGCATCAGATAAGAATTTAGATGGACTGACGTTTAATCCTCCCAACAACACTATGAGTTAGATATGATTATCATTGTCCCTCTGTAATAGATGAGAAGTGATGTTGAGCAATTTACTCAAGCTCACTTGGGTTCTACGACAGGGATTCAAACACCAGATACCAGTTAGCACTAATTTCCATGCTATACTGACTCCCCATCTATATGGAAAGATGACTATGCCCCCTTCAGGTAAAATCCCATCTTTTGTCTGGTTTTCCTCACTTTTGCAATATATTTAAAATACATCCTGAAAGTATTTGATCATCATCAGAAGACCCGGTACCTCCAAAGCATAGTTTTGACTTAAAAATTAGAATATTTTCCTATTACAATTATTTGTAATTTTTACTGTGTCTAAAAATGAATATATATATAAAACATTTGAAACGTGAAAAACAATAAAATAAGACGAAAAAAATTCATGTTTTAAAAGAACATAACCAGTTACTAGGGGTTCCACTGAAAGTATCTTATAATAAACACAAATTTTAATTTTTCATTTAACAATACTAAAGAATGAGGTATATAAATGTTTTAAACACAGATTTTTACTGTATGCAATTAACTGTATTTCACAACTAGCATCTTACAAAAAAGACAGTACCATTGTGCCTGTAAAAAGTACTGCAATTAAACAGAAAATCACATTACCACGCGAAACCACCAAATATCACAACCGTGAGTCAGGGTCTACAGGTTTTTTCTTCAAACACTATCATGATGTCTTTATGTGATATTTTGTATCCAAGTTATGTTTTTAAGTTCATTTATATTTCAGAAGTCTCCTATAAGTGGATATATATTAAACAAATGGCTAAGAGAAAGCAGGAGACCCTCGGAGAATTTAAGAAGTACTGTGTGGTTTCTAGGTTGGATTTTTAAATATAACATAAAATATTTTATTAATTGTAAACAAAAATGCAAAATCGGTAGTCATAAAAATATTTTATTGAATTTTACATAATAGTAAGTGGGGCTGTAAATACTTTTTTAATTTCAGGATATTGATGAATGCATAAACTGCAGTTGTGCCTAAAAACAGGGCACTATGATTTTATAAGAATTGTTATATTTAGTAAGAGGCCAATTAAACTGATTTAAGATTACTTATTTTCCAGTTCTGTGCAAGACTTCCCATTTCTGTATTAATTAGATTCATACTTCTATGACCCTGGATAAGTTTGGGGCAAGGAAACAGTGATAAAACTATTATTAAGTTAAAGCTTTTCTAAAATTGCAGCTTTTAAAATATGGCAGATTTCTTTTCTCTTCCGTTTTTGCCAAATGCTTAAAATTATTTGAATTTTAACGTTTTATATAATACAGAAAATACCAGTGTTCAATGACAATAGCACTAAACCTGAATTACAAAGCTAAATAATCAATGTTTTATTGTTTACTAGTCTGCTAGTAAACATTACAATAAATGAATGTTTTGAAAGATACGCAAAAAGAACAGATAAAACCGGAAACATAATTCAGAAACAATAATTTAGTAAACTGTGTCAAAAACATTGGCAACGGTTCATACAAATTCTTTATTTAATAACAATTTTCCTATTTAGCCACACCAAGTACCAGCAGGTGTATTTAAGAGGATACCATTAAGAAAATCCTGTTGCAGCAATAGTTGATTAAGTTGATCTTTGACTTGTATACATATAACTATTTGTTTCACAATTCTCAAATAATACATATTTAGGCAGCTTGCACTATGTTATAAAAATTTTAATTCGTTACATGCCAATAGTAGAGAATTCAAGAATTATGTGTTAGAATTCACTAAACTAAAAGTGAAAATAGACTTACCAATAACACTGCATAATGAATAATTCAACCACATTTTCATGGCACCTTTAACTGTGAAGACCAAAATGTTGAGTCTGGAAATGTTGGGTAGATTGCAATAAAATCCAACAAATTCTCACAAATTTCTATCTTATGTAAAACGCAAATTATGGATTGTGCATGAATATGTTTGTCATGAAAATGTGGTACTTCTTGGCATAATCTGTGTATTTGCATGGTATGACAGAAGTGACCTAAGAAATCGGAGAAAATAAACTTTAATGAGATTCTCCATTCAATGATGAGGCTTCTCCTCTGGGTGAAGATGACCTGGACATTCCCCTTTCTGTGTTGTCAGAGCTAGAGCCACTCTGACTATGCTGATCTGCAGAGGCAGCACTAGATGCAGGCGGTGACTTCGTTTTCTCCTTAAAGTCTGTAATAATGACTGTCAGATCTCCAACGGTAACTTCCAAATGCTGAGCACTACTCCGATCCACATTTTTCAATCTTGGCCTAAACACAAAAGATGATAAAATTTTAAACTAGCTTTTCTCTCTACCAACTTTCTCAGCATATAATGAATAGTAAATTGGGTAAAAATAATAAAATGAATACATCTATGTTTAAAGCTCTAGATTCATATGTAACTAGCCACAAAAATATAACTTTCAAATCATTAACATTAATCAAACCAATCATTTATGAATATTTTTTAATGAGACAAAAAACTGTGATACTCTGGAATGGTCTCTTAATTGTGTTTTCATAGCTGTTATCATAATTTTGCAGAGAGCTTATCAATTTTGTTAAAATAAATGTTTTAAATCAGCAATGACATGGTTGCATCACAGAGGAAGCTGGTAACAGCTAAGCTTGCGTTATATGCAGGGCTGTTACTCCACTGATGTGTACTGATAAGGGCATCATGATTGTCTGTTCTGCTTGGAACCATGATCATTTTGAGTGGTTAAAGCCCATGCAAATATCTGTTCAGTATTGTGACTATCATTCCTGGCTTTAGAGTGAAAAAGAAATACCTCAAACACAAGCATCTTTCAATCTGCTAAAAAAAAAAAAAAAAAAAAAAGGAAGCATCCTTACATTTAAGCTTATATTTGTGGCCTCTGTGTTTAATGTCGAATCTACCTTTCAAACTCAGAAAAACACTTTCATGATACTTTATAATAAAGGAAATGAAATCTTTTACTTCTGCTTTGTATATATCAATGTTAAAAGAATATTAAATGGTTAATCTTATTATTTCAAAACTGCCGTAAAACACTCTTCATATTACCTGGTTTTCTTATGACTGTTCTTTTTGCTAGTTGTTTCCTTTTCACTTTTTTCTTTTTCTACTTTATCTTTTTTCTCTTTCTTTGACTGTGTAGGGGGCACAAACTGTTGAGTAACCTGCTGTGCAACCAACTGGGAGACAGGTCGAGGCTTCCTGTGTGCATGTTAAAAAGAAAGGGTTTTTTATTATTATAACTTAAGAATACATGTTCTTTATGAGAGAATTGGTCAAATTACGAAAAGATATATATTACAATTTTCACGTATAAAAATTCTTCGTATGTAAGGTAATTCAGATGTGCAATTTGAGATCTATATATATACAGACATACAACATTACTGTCTTTCCTATCCAACAAAAATACAACTATAATAAGTTAAAAGTTATAGCCCAAGATACATGGCCAAATCATTAGAATATAACTTTTATATAAATCAACATGAAAATTATTAAAAATCTATATCAAACTGAATGCTCATAGGGAAGCACACATATAAATAAACATGAATATTAAAAATTAAACTTGAAAGTTTACACTGAATTAAGATTTAAATTTATCCCTCCTCCCTCAGAGAAGGAAATATCTAACCATCTGTGACAATGGCTATTTGTTCTTTCCTTTAAAATCTTTCATTTATTCATTTAATAAATATTTGAGTGTCAAAATTTCTCACTGCTTATTGCTCAAATCCTTGAGAGCAGTATCTCATATTGCTTCCTTATACCTCTAGCTGCAATCTCACCGTGCTCTTTTGACCTTGGAGATCTGCCCAGTCCTTTGAGACTTGCCTACTCACTTACTTATTCATTTAAAAAATATTTATTGAGAACCTACTATAGGAACTGCACTGAGATATCTGAAATGTTGCCTGGCTTCAACCTTTGGTGCCAGTACAAGTTGTCACTCTGTTGGCCCAGGGTCAAGGATCCCTCCAGCTTAATGTTGGAACTTGAGCAACTGAGGTCAAGATTCAAAGTGAATAGTCTCTAAGTTCTTAAAATGAGAGAGGGAAAGAAGACTAAGGAGGGGAAAGGGGTGGGAGGGAAAAAGTAAGGGAGAATAAGATAAAAATACAGTCTAACAGATGGTCTACAAACAATAGTAATTTTATTGCCTGGAAAATCTTGACCCTATTTTGGTCAGAAGGCTTATTAAAAAAATCTTTTTTTTTGTTTCTCTAGAGCAAGACAAAACAGAAACCAATGAGAAAATACTGCACAATTTACGACTCAAAGCTTGAAGGAGGAAATAGGAAACAGTATGTAAAACAGATTTCAGTAGCTGGATAATAAATTTTGTTTAGAGCCTACAGGAAGGATGTCCAGGAAAGATGTCCAGTACACAATTTAAAATACAAAACAGGGTTAATGATGTAGATTAAGAGTTACACAAATGAAAGTGACATTGAAAGCATGGTAATTAATGGCTGAGCTTGTTAAGGAAATGAACTTACAAAAAAAGATTAAAGCAGCAGTTCTCAAATTTAAGGTACATCAGGATCACGTGGAAGGCTTGTTTAGCTTGCTTAGCCCTACTCCCAGGGTTTCTGATTCAGTAGGCCTTGGGGTCTAATAATATTTGCATTTCTAACTAGTTTCCAAGCTGTGCTGATGCTCTAGTCTAGCCACTACACTTTGCAAATAAGTTTGAAGAAGTGAATATATTGGTACTACTGCAGCTTAAAGTTTGAGATGGAGAGCAGGGAAATGAAAAAAGCAAGGCTGGACAGATGGGAAGGAACTCGATAACAAAAAGCTAAAGAGTCTGATTTACCCTTAAAAGATGGGAGATCACTGAAGAAATCCAGACTTGAATTTTACAAAGATTACTAGCAGCAGTCTGAAGGGAAAAGGTACGACAGAGGCACGGAAATTGTTAGGAAGCTACTTTAATAATAGATCAGGCAAAAATAAATAGGGCTGAACTACGGAAGCAGCAGTGGGGTTATTTAAGACAGGCTGAAGCTGCAGAATCAAGGGGACATGGTGACTAATTAGATGTGCCTTTCTCACTTCTCAACCAACAAATATTCCTTTAGCAAAACATACAGAAATCCTTGCCCTCAAGTAGCCAACATTCTGTGGGTGAAATCAAACAACAAATAAACATAGAGTCTTAGATGCTGATAAATGCCATGGAAAAAAATTAAGGAAGGAAGGAACATAGGGAGTGCTGGGGAAGGAGCAGTAATTTTATTGTCTGTTTCCTCTTCTAGGATATAAACGCCACAAGGAAAGGGATGGAATTAGCTTTATACACCACTGTATAACTAGTACCTAGGATAGTACTGAAAATATACTAGATACTTAGTATTTGTTGAAGAATGAATGAATGATAAAATCAGGTTTAATGAGGAAGAAAGATGTTTTTTAAGAAAAGGAGTACTGTCTCTAATCTTACTCATTGGCCAGCATCAACCACTCACTACATACAAGTGAAAAAATAAGAGAAGCAAGAATTAATTTCTTTTTTAATCATGTTGGAATATGGAAAGAGAAAGAAAGCTCAAAGGTGTGGCAGGGTTGAGAAAAGATTTGTTTAGACTAGTACCTAGTGAACAGTGAGTCACCTAAAATTGAGAGTCACTCTAAGATATAAAATGCAATGGACGTGTAGTCATCACTTGGTCTCCCAAGGTATTACGGCTCTCTGAATGTCTCCCCTCCATAACAAATGAAGGTTTGACAACTTCCTTTATTACATTTTGTACTGTTGCTCTCTCCGTCACAAAATTTAATGCAAAATAAATTTACAAAAATGTTAATGAATTAAATTGAATTACAATAAAATTTCAAACATTAAAATAAATTTATATTCTTTTGAACCTAGAGTAGAAACCCTGATGTTTCTAGCAATCAATAAATTGATGTTAGTTATTTAGTAGCCATTATTACTAACTTAAGATATATAATTTATTTATATTCTCTTTATTTGTGCTCCCTTTAAGTAAAATTGTATATTTTTCTAGGTTTTTTTGGATTCATTAATGACCTCGGTATCCCAATACTATTTTTCCCATAAGATCTAACATCTCAATCATGGATTCTCCGATCATGAAGATTTTCAAGAATATCAGTATTGTGCTGTGGTTACGTACAGAATATTTTTGTAACACAATCAATCACTGCCCCCCCCCAGCATTTGTCTCCAAGTTAGTGCCCATCTATTATGTGACACTGTTTCTCAGTCCCGCTTATATGTGAGAAAGGCATAATCCTAATTCCCCAACTCATGAATCTTGCAATATAGCTGCTGCCAAGTCTTTTTCAAATTTAACAAGTTTTATTTCTCCAGAATCTTCCTAGAATCATTTTCCCTTTTTATACGGCCCATCAATCTGAAAGTGAAAGCATATTAGTAGACCATGCTTTGCTTCATAAAACCATGAGGTTGAGTTAAATGAATTAATAATTTTTCCATCAGTTATGAATCTAGAATTCTTCTAAGTGTTATACTTTCAGTGGTAAGAACAAAATACTCAGTAAATGTACACTCTCTTACAAGCAAAACCAACGCAGAAAGAACTGGTGAACTGGTTCAACTTTGGGAGAAAAGAAGCACAAAATACAAACATATGTATACATATAGCCTAATTATCAAAATAAAGTTCTCTGCTGCTCTCTAGAGGCTGAATGAGCTTTGAAGATCCTTCATTGAAGGTAGAAAATACGTAGATTATTGATGATCTTTTTACCATGTCATAAAGTGACTCACCTTTACCAAGCCCTATTAAAAAGAAAGCCCTTCTATCTCCAGGGGTCTTAAGAAGGTTTAACTATGATCCCTTTTCTACTTAATGAGAAAAATCTGGAAGATACTAGGGAATTTTAGAGGTGGGAGATAGTTAACTCAGGAAATAAGGGGCAGGCTATCATGTATAAGGTATGCCTTTTTATATTCAGGGATTTATGATTCACGGTTTTGACAATACAAGTGCAACACCAAAGGTTCTGTGATAATGAGGAGGAAAAAGTCACCTACTTAGTACAATAAGTGCTGTCAGCCATGTCCCAACAGCACTCTACTGTCATCTACCTATTCACACGTGTCATGATCAGGCTGTAACTCGTGAAATATGGTGTCCAAAAATTTGGGGATCCCTCTGTGTCCCTATGTATCCTTCACAAATAGCCCAAATAGACTGTGTAAAGTTTGGCAGGTCTGTTGATTTACTGTAACATAAGAAAAAGGGAAATATTTCAACAACCATTTAATGGATATCTCCTACTCATCAGAACAAAATATTTTTAGGAGCTGTTGGACCTCGCATGTGAGTAGGAGGCTGGTGCATGTTGACTGATATATGCTTTTTCTAACTATGTGTCTGCCCTCCACCCTCCCCACCTCCCAATAAAAATGCTGTGTGTCAAAGAGCGTAAGAAAAATGCTTTAAGCTTAATCATCCTCATCTATACTTAGCTTTGTCAAGTTGGACAGGCAAAACAAACAAGATATGAAACAATTACTGATTCTATTCTAAAAGAGGCAGCATTATTCATAGCTCAGAAAGAAGTAATCTGCTTCATGACACTGAAATATATGGTAAATTGAAGCAATATAATAAATCTCAATCAGTAAAAAAGGCCGAACTAAACCGAAACCTGCTGTGAGTCTGTTGATATATTGCTAATAAAAGCCCAAAAATCTAACCAAGGGAGATTTTATAAGCAGCCACCCTGTTTGAAAATGTATTTCACATTGACACGTGTCAGGCACTAGGTAAGGTGAGGGAAATTCCCCATGAACAAGACAGACTCTGTGTCATCACAGAGCTTACTTAGTGGATGAGATAGAAACCACACAAAAGAAAACTAAATAAAAGTAAATTTTGTCAAAATCACTAAGAAGAAAAAAATGGTATGCTGTGATTTAAAACAAAAAAGAGGGGGCCACCCCTGTGGCTTAGCGGTTAAGTGCGCGCGCTCCACTGCTGGCGGCCTGGGTTTGGATCCCGGGCACACACCAATGCACCGCTTGTCAGGCCATGCTGAGGCCGCGTCCCATATAAAGTAGAGGAAGACGGGCACAGATGTTAGCCCAGGGCCAGTCTTTCTCAGCAAAAAAACGAAGAGGATTGGCATCAGATGTTAGCTCAGGGCTGATCTTCCTCACAAAAAAATAAATAAATAAAAATTTTAAAAAAATAAAAGAG